TAATCTTTCAGTTTCAACCATAGAGTGAAGACAGTATATATTAAGTGGGGACATACAATGTCTCCTTTTCATAGCCTGCTTTGCTTCATTGAGCACTGTATCTTCCATATACGTCCACTTTCTATCAAATGCCAGGGTCTTGTTTTTTATTACTGAGCAGTATTCCATAGAGTCTATGTGCCACATCTTTTCAATCCATTAATTTTTTCATGGACTTTGGGATTGGTTCAATGTCTTAGCAATCGTTAATAATGCTGCAATAAACATAAATGTGCAAAATGCTCAGGAGTGGAATGTAATTCTATTTGTAGATTTTATTTTATTTTTAAAAGAATCACCTTATTGGGACCAGCAGTTAGCGTAATGGCTATGTCGCTGGACTCCCATGTAGTAAACCATGGTTCGAGTCCTGGACCCAGTGGCTTAAACTCACGCTGGGCACGTGTGCATGTATGCCCAAGATCTCAAGGGGAGAATGGAGGAGAAGGGACTGCAGTGTGGCCATCCCCTCTGGGGGGTGATTCCTCGCTTTTTGTCTCTCTGTCTCTCTCTGTCTTTCTGGTGAGCACACGTGCCCTATAGCGAAAACCTCTCCAAAAAAAGAAAAAAAGAATCACCTTATTTAACTTTATTTATTCATTTATTTATCTATTTATTTTTAATTTGACCAGAGAGGGACAGAGAGAGAGAAAGAGAGAGAGAGAAAGTGAGAAAGCAAACCACCAGATCCGGGACTCAAACTGCTGTTGGCCATGTGGGAGTACATCACCCCAACTACCATGCCACCTGCCAGCTACCTATTTGTAGATATTTGAGGAAGCTCAATATTCTCTGCCAGTGGCTGGACTAATTTATATTCCCACCAACAGTGTAGGGGAGAGTTCCCTTTTTACCTCAGCCTTGCCAGCACTTACCATTTTTTTTTTTTTAATCTTAGCTATTCTGACTGGAGTTAGGGATAGCTCGTTGTGGTTTTGATTTCATCTCCCTTATAATGAGGGATGCTGAACATTTTTTCATATGCCTTTTGGCTGTTCATGTGTCCTCCTTAGAGAGTTGTTTATTTAGCTCATTTCCAATCTTTTCATTGGGTTGATTTTTTTTTTCCAGTTAAACCACTTGAATTCCACGTGTATTCTGGTTAGTAGTCCCTTATCTGATGCATAGTTTACAAATATTTTTCCATTTCAACAGTTATTGATTCACAGTAATTACTGTGTTCTTTGCTGTGCAGAAGATTTTTAATCTGATGTAACCCCACTTGTCTATTTTTGGGATTATTGCCTGTGTTTTGGGGATCTCATTTAAGAAGTCTTTTCCTACTCCAATATCTCCCAGAGTTTCCCCACTCTTTTCCACTAGTAGTTTTATAGTTTGAGGTCTTAGGTTTAGATCTTTATCTACTTTTTATTGGATTTTTGTTAATGGTGAGAGAAAGGGGTCCAGATTCATCTTTCTGCAGGTGGATGTCCAGTTGTTCCAGCACCATTTGCTAAAAAGGCTTTCTTTTCCCCATTGGATTGGATTGTCAGAAATCATTTGGTTGGGGGTTGGCAGGTGGTGTGGTGGTTAAGGGCACTGGACTCCCACATGGCTGATTGTAATTTGAATCCCAGACCTGGTGGCTTGCTTTCTCACTTTCCCTCTCTCTCTCTCACTTTCTCTCTCACTCTGTCCTTCTCTGGTCAAATAAAATAAACAAATATATAAAGTTAAAGTTTATTTCTGGGATATTTATTCTGTTCCACATGTTTGTTTTTGTGCCAATACCATGCTGCTTTATCACAGCTTTGTAATATATTTGGGGGTCAAGGAGTGAGACCTCTTACTCCACTCTTCTTGCACAGGATTGCTTTGGCATACAGGGTCTTTTATGATTCCAGACAAATTCTATGATTGTCTTTTCAAGATCTGTGAAGAATATGTGTGGTAATTTTGTTGGGATTGCATTAAATATGTATTAATTTAGGTAGAATTGCCATTAGTAGAGGTCTTTGACTTCTTTAGATGGAATTATTCCTAGGTATCTTAAACGTTTTGTGGCTATGGTAAATGTGATTACATTCTTCAGCTCTATCTCCGTCTGCTTGTTGTTCGTATATAGAAATGCTATAGAATTTTGTATGTTGATTTTGTATCTTGACACTTTAGTGTATTCATTTATTACTTCCAGAAGTTTTTTGGGGAAACCTGTGGGTCTTCTATGTATACAATCATGTCATCTGCAAACCGAGA